GCCCTCATTGGTCATGTGCGTGTTCGTGTGTGTTGGAGGAGGGGCTCTGTGAGGAAGTGGCACATTTTTTCCGGCTGTGTATTTTCTAATTCTAGCGCACTCATTACATTACATCACATTTAGCTGAGGCTTTTATCCAAAGAGACTTACAATAAGTGCGTTCGACCAGGAAGATACAAACTTGAAGAAAACAGAATCATATAAGTACATCAGGTTTCATAGAGCCAAAACATTTCAAGTGCTACTCAACTTGCTTTAGATAAGCCAGTCCTTTATTAGTATATAAGTGCTTTGTTAGTAATTCTATCGCTCGAAGTGGAGTCGAAAGACATGAGTTTTCAGTCTGCGCCGGAAGATGTGTAAGCTTTCTGCTGTCCTGATTTCAATGGGGAGCTCATTCCACCATGTTGGAGCCAGGATAGCAAACCCACGTGTTTTTGCTGATGGGAACTTGGGTCCCCCTCGCAGTGCGGGTGCAGCGAGCTGTTTGGCTGATGCAGAGTGGAGTGCACGTGCTGGGGTGTACGGTTTAACCATGTCCTGGATGTAGGAAGGGCCAGATCCATTCAAAGCATGGTACGCAAGTACCAGTGTCTTGAAGTGGATTCTAGCAGTTACTGGAAGCCAGTGAAGGGAGGAGCGGCGTGGTGTGGGACTATGACTAAGAGTCGCTAAATGATACTTACTTTCTCAAAATAAGGATTTGATAACTAAAAATAATTTCTTATCTTATCATAATTAAAAGTCAAAATAATGACACAACAAAATATTTTGAGTTACTAAGTCAGTATTCTCAGGACGTTTCTCTCTAAAATGACTCACATTATCTTGGTTTTTTTTACATTTTCACACAAATTGGCCTTCCATGCATGTCAAACACACGACACTGTAACACATTTAAAGCTGGTTCAAAGGTGTGAAAATATGAAACCAACCGAGTTCAATCAACAACTGTTGGAGCTAGCTCGCTATAACAATTACTCTGATCCAACTTTATGGTATCTTGCATAATTACTTATTTAAAAAATAAACAGTTTTGGAGTAAATAATAAACGGAAACAGATTAATTAAAACTCCTGAATAGCATGCTCAAATTATATCATATGAATAAGAAGTAGTAACACATTAATAACTGTGTACATTGCTTTAGTCAATGTAGGCTATTGTTTAACTAAAATATCAAAAATAAAAGAAGATATATTTACCCCAGTTATCAGAACGTACCTGAAAGCATGTAATCCTGTGCCTGGCTCCGGCAGTACAGACGTGTTGGTAGTAGTGTGGGCTGATGGGAGAATGCACTCTGCAAACATGTGCATTGTGTTTGTATTTCTCCAGAAATGTTCAGACCCTTTGCAAACCTAATTATGTCATCATTATTTATTGTGATTAACAGTTTTTCTATGCTTTGATCTTGTTTTCCTCCAGATAAAATCAGTAGCACGAACCCTCGTGTGATTGAGAACCAGAGAGCCAGACAGCTGTGTATCGATGTGCGTCACTCGCTGTTTTACGAGACCTGCGCCACCTACGGGTTCAACGTGGATCGAGTGTTTTCAGAGGGTGAGTTGGCTGAAATCTCTCACGCAAAACACAGAGTCAGAGGTCTGATTCAGCACGAGGAACAAAGTGTTAATGACACGTACAGTATGTTAACGTCTGCTGTGTGTCTTCCAGCTGCACAGAAGATAGTCGCTCAGAAGAAGCTGGCGGCGCTGCAAGCCTGCAAGTCTCTGCCCAACTCCCCCAGCCACTCAGGGGGCTCCACCCCGGGGTCCGCATCCTTCCCCAGCCAGGTACACATCTCTATTTTTCTAATAGCTGTAGGCAGTGCCCAATTTATTCATCGACATGACAAACATTTGGATCATCTCACATGTGGAGTTATAAGACACTGCTTGATATCAAAAAATCCAAAACATAACACAAAACTAATTTAAATGATACTAATGCTAATTCGTATGAAACAACTGCTAACAGATATACATATATTGGTGTACCATACTTCATTTTGAGACAAGGTGCTCATACTTTATTTGAATATTCCATTTATCTACTTCTGTTTTGGAGGCAGATATTGTTATTTTTATATCCGATATATATTTTAAAGCCACGCTTACGTTCCACATTCTGATTGTTTATACAACATATATATTATGAACTGATTAGCTATCACATATTATCATAATTATATAAGGAAGTTATAATTAGTTCCACCTTTACCAGCGACTGATGATGAACACATTAATGTTATAAACTAAAAACACTTCCAAGTATCTTTTTGTACTTTTACTTTGAATGCAGGACATTCACTTGTATAAGGAATTGTCAAATAGTATTATTGCTTTTTCACTTTTTACTCAGGGAAAACATCAGAATGCTTCTCGATATGAACTGGAATGATTTAAAGTTGTGTACCAAAAACAGGAGGAAGTAAAGTATCCTTATCCGTTCTTTTACTCCACTATGAATCTTCCTTCAAAGCTCATCATCAATATGTATGAGCATTGTTTAGCACAGATTCACACAGATACATATTTCTAATCCCCTGACAGAAGGGTGAAATAAATATTTTAAAACAATGCATTGATATAAAAGCGCTGAATACTAACACATCCAGGTGTGAAACTTGCTCTTGCTCTTTTGTTTGGGTAACAATCTTATTTTGCAGTCTAGACAGATATTACATAATACCTGATCTAAATAGGACACAGATGAAAGTGATCTGCTGTTGCCATGCTGTTTTCTTACTAAGTTGAGCATTTTTGAAGCACCTCTGTAAAGATCCAGGAGCGTTTTTATTATTCCCGATGCCTTCAGTCTCGGAAGAAACACTCAGATCTTATACCGCAGTGTAGAAATACTCTGTTACAAGTAAACGTCCTGCATTCAAAATGTTACTTAAGTATAAAAGTAATAGAATCAAAATATACTTAAATCTAAAAGTACTCTGTCACCAAAGTGGCCATTTTCTGAACAGTATAATTGATATCACTGGCTTATAATCAGTGATGCATTCATGTGTCTATCATTTAATTGGGCAGCTGGTAAAGGATGAGATCCCATTAATAACGTTTTATACTGCCAGGTGTTTCCATCCATAAAGTGAAAATAGCAATAAGTATAAAGTGGCATAACATGGAACAGTCAAAAGTAAGCAAAGTACCGCTAACAGTAAAGCACTTGAGTACGTTCACTTAGTTACTTTAGGTCACTGCTAAAGAGTAATATTTTTCTGCACATGTCAGAAAAATCACCTCTTGAATAAGGTTACAAAAACCATGTCAAACTAAGGTATTCTTTCCAGACTCAAAGTGAGAATGTGTGGCCCTCTCTCGGTTCAGTGTAAGCATTAAATCTGAGGAGGTGCCTTATAAAGTAAAAATCATCAATCAAACTGAAATCTAATTTTCCCCGGCCTCTCAAAGACCGTCCATCACTTCCTGTTCATCCATCTCAGCTCCATCAATATCCCCCTCACCTCGCTCTCATTGATCTGCAGAAATCACCCTGTGGATCAGATCCCATTGTATTGTACATTTACTTCACCTGTGTTTCATCTTTCATCCCATTCTCAACTCCTCCATCTCGCCTCGTGACCTCCGCCGTCCTCCATCCCCCCGCTCCTCCTCCTCCTCCTCCTCCTCCTCCTCCTCCTCTCAGGCCAGTAATGGCTCGACTTGTGGCTACGCCCACTCCCTCCCCTCCACCCCCGTGATCGCTCACAGAGATCTGAGGGTGGCTCAGGGAGAGGGGGGGGGAGGAGGAAGTGTCAACTCACGCTCGCTGAAGAACATCCCCCGCCGGCCCTCCCTCTTCAAGGTCAGTTGTCGCCCAAATGTCTCACACCTCCTACTCCCCCGTCATCTCTCACCATCATCTCACTCCATCTCACCCTCTCTGCTGTAATATTCTGCTATTTGTAAACCTTTTTTTACATTCGTATTCCAGAACCGGGACTCAGATAAGAAGTCTGGTGATGGTAAAGGAGATCAGAGCAACACGAGAGGCGTCCCTATCAAACAGGTACAAAAGAACAGCTGTTAATACATAATATATATTAATGAGGCTTCAGTTTGCTTGAAGCACAATCATATGCACCATCTCCCTCTTTAGTAAAACAGTGAGGAAAAACTACTTGTTTCACCTTTTTAATGGAGGGATACAACACAACTATATATCCAGGACTTATTACTGCACTCTTATACTGTAATGAATCTCCTCAGTTTGACTTACCGGTAATCATTTAAGATCAGAATCAGACATCCTTTATATGTCCCGCAGCGGGGAAATGTGCATTGCTAGAGCAAAGGTTACAGTTCAGATAAAAGGCAACACAAACAAAGAGTAAAATAGTAGACTGACATATTAAATATAGAGGCAAGCACATGCAAAGTAATTAAACAAGTACACATCCATGGTAAAAAAAAAGAAATGTTAAAACCCAAATGTGTTGATGCTTTTGTAAACACAGGGTACTCATTTGTGCCAAGGATTTATAACCATAGGGTCCAATACAAATAAATCATTCCTTTTCTTTTTATTGTGGGCAGGAAAATAAATATTGAAATTGTGGGGGATACCTCTGTAGCAATGGAGAGTCAGGACTCAGAGAGACACGAGGAGAGC